ATGGGCCCCAATCAGGGGCGGGGCCAGCCAGCCAACTTCCCACAGCCTCTCCCCCTGACTGGCCTCAATCCCTGGCCAGGCTGAGCGATCCCACCCGTGCATGAATTCATGCACTGGGCCTCTAATCCTAGCTAATAGACAGAATATGCAAATTAACTGTCACACCTTCACAAATATGGTGGTGCCCAGTCCCCTCAACCCCACTGGAGTCCCCTAGTCCTTTCAGCCCATCCGGGGGGCGGCAGGCACACGGTGCAGCTGGACCTGCCCTCAGCTCTCCAGCCGCCCAGAGCCTGCCCAAGGCGCAGGCAAGCCTCGGATGGTGGCTGCCCAGGGCCGCCGAGGCTCAGGTAACCAGGGCCGGCCGCGCTGCCGGCAGTGGCAGCAGCAGAGGTGTGATTGGGGCATCACCTTCCCCTGATGGCCGGGTTGCCTCCCGCCCCTGAGGACTCCTGGACTGTGAAAGGGGGCAGGCCAGGTTGAGGAACATCCCCCCTCCAGTGCATGAATTTTCATGCACCAGGCCTCTAGTATGCATATAAGTTCTTTGGTTGATCTCTTCCCACCCACCCACCCTCCCTGCCATTCCATCCTATGTGTACAGCTGCATTGCTTTGGTAACTTTGAGGGCCCAGATGAGAGTTGAGTTCTGTTATTTATATATATAAAAGCCCAGCGACCGGAATGGCAGAATGACCAGAATGACCGATGGCTATGACATGCACTGTTGCAGGCCAACCAGCCTGATCCGGGCCCTGATTGGCCTCCACCCCAGTCGCGGGCGGGGCTGGCCAGCCATCCACCCGCAGCCCCTCCCCCCGGCCAGCCCGTTCCAATGGACCCCCATTGGGGCAGGCCAGCCGGACCCCACCCATGCACGATTTTGTGCACCAGCCTCTAGTAATGTTATAAACCTGGTTTGGTATAAATGTTTTTTTTGTTGTTACTGTTTTAAATCTGGGCTGTGACCAAGACAACATTTAATTTATTCCAGAATCTACCATGTAGCGTGAAGAACCAATTTAGTCCAGTCCTTATAATAATGATATCACTTTTATAGCACTTAATAAATTATAAACATATTGTATGTTTAAATACAGTAAATGCCTCAGGTTAAGCAGGCAAAGTGGTGTGATGTCATTTTACAGATGAGAAAACTGCTCCTTAGAAATTTAACTGGCTTATCTATGAAAAAAGGCAAGGACAGAACCATGACTGGGACCCAGGGTTTTGGAGCCCAATGCTTTTTTATTTCCTCATTTTGTTGTAAACTTGGCCTCAAATTTTTGCCAGAATCAAATCACAGGATGCAAAGTTTGTTAATTCTCATGGATTTTCTTTCACATGCCCTTGCAGGCATTATGTCGGGCAGAAGATGAAGAGGATATTCGTGCGGCCACCCAAGCCAAGGCTGAACAGGTTGCTGAGCTTGCAGAATTCAATGAGAATGATGGGTTTCCTGCTGGTGAGGGAGAGGAGGCTGGTCGGCCTGGGGCTGAGGATGAGGAAATGTCCCGAGCTGAGCAGGAAATTGCTGCCCTTGTCGAACAGGTCAGTGTTGGACCCACTAGTTCTCAACTCCTTCCTCTGGACTCTGTAACCCTCCTATCTTCCCTGGTAAAAATGGCTGATAGGTGGGCCCTGGGCACCTAGTCCCTCTGTTCATCACCACTCTTCCTCCCAACAGCTGACCCCTATTGAGCGCTATGCTATGAAATTCCTGGAAGCCTCACTGGAGGAGGTGAGCCGAGAGGAGCTCAAGCAGGCAGAAGTGAGTAGTTCTAGGGGGAGGGATTGGAAGTGGGAGGCTACTGTTTTCTACCCATTACCACCTTGAGTGCCTCTCCCTGACCACCCTGTGGGGTCTGTTGGTAGGAACAAGTGGAAGCTGCCCGCAAGGACCTGGACCAAGCCAAGGAGGAGGTGTTCCGCCTACCCCAAGAGGAGGAGGAGGGACCAGGGGCTGGGGATGAGGTTTCCTGTGGGACTGGTGGAGGCAGCCACCGGCGCAGTAAGAAGGTCAAGGCCCCTGAAAGGCCAGGGACTCGAGTCAGTGAGCGTCTTCGTGGAGCCCGGGCTGAGACTCAAGGGGCAAACCACACTCCTGTCGTATCCACTCATACCCGCAGTACTTCCACGCCTCCCCGCTGTAGCCCTGCCAGGGAGCGAGTTCCCAGGCCAGCGCCTAAGCCTCGACCCGCTCCAACTTCGGCTGCTGCAGATCCCATACCGATCCCTGCCCCAATCCCCATTTCAGCTCCAAATCCATTAACCATGCTTCCTGTCCATATCTTGCCTTCTCCCCCACTTCCTCCGCAGATTCCCCCCTCTTGTTCTGCCTGCACACCTCCTTCTGCCTATACCCCTCCACCAGCTCATACCCCACCTCCAGCTCAAACCTCTGTCTTAACTCCTACCTCCCCTCTCTTGCTTGGTCTACCCTCTGTGCCCATCTTCCCCCCAGTCACCAACCTCACCTTGGGCTTGGGGCCTGAGGCAGAGCTGTGTACACAAACATTGGCATCTAGTGAGTCCCTGGAGCTGGCTGATATGACCAGCTCTGAGACTTCCCCGCTTACTCATATGCCCGCTAAGGATCTGTTGCCAGTTGCTGTTGAGATCCTGCCTATGTCAGAAAAGACCGTTTCTCCCACCTCTTCTGCACCTAGCCCAATCCTGGAGACTGGCAGTTTTCCCAATGGTCAAGAGCAGGAGGTACCAGAGCCTGCTGAGGGGACCATCCTCACAGTGCTGCCTGATGGTGAGGAGGCGCCCACGTGTCCGAGTGAGAACAGTGATCTGGCGCTCCCACCTTCAGCAGTATCTGATGAGCTACTTCAGTTGCCATTGGAGGCTGACAAGAACTCAGAAGAGCTAGTGGAAGCCCAGACCCCAACATCCAGCCCACAGAAGCTGCAGGAACTTGGTTCAGCTGAGGTTACAGCTCCATCAACCTCATCTTCAGCCACCTCCTCACCTGAGGGTTCTTCACCTGCCCGGCCCCCTCGACGTCGCACCAGTGCTGATGTAGAAATTAGGGGTCAGGGGGCTGGTCGGCCGGGGCAGCCTCCAGGCCCCAAAGTGCTTCGCAAGTTGCCAGGACGGCTAGTGACTGTGGTAGAGGAAAAGGAACTGGTGAGGCGACGGCGACAGCAGCGGGGAACTGCCAGCATCCTAGTGCCTGGGGTCTCTGAGACTGGTGCCAGCCCAGGAAGCCCATCTACCCACAACATGTTGGGGCCAGAATCCTCACCTCCCACCAGTGGGCCCTGTGAAGCTGCTCCCCCATCCATACTGCCCACCCCAACCCAGCAGCCCTTCATAGCTCGCCGTCACATTGAGCTGGGGGTGACTGGAGAGGTCAGCCCAGAGAATGGAGAAGGGGCACTGCTTGCCATCACCTCTCCTGCTATGAAACGTCGGAGGGGGAGGCCTCCCAAGAAGAACAGGTCTCCTGCAGATGCTGGACGAGGGGTGGATGAGGCACCTTCATCCACCTCTAAGGGAAAAACCAATGGGGCTGACCAGATCCCTGGGGCTGACCCCCTTATTGTTGCAGAGCCTGTTTTGGGACCCCAGCTTATTCCTGGGCCCCAGCCTCTTGGACCCCAGCCAACTCATAAACCCGAGCCCATCATCCTATCACCTGTGGAGAAAAGAAGGCGCGGGCGGCCCCCTAAGGCACGTGATTTACCCATTCCTGGGACCACTTCCTCTCCAGGGGATGGCAGCTTAGAGAGCCGGACACAGCCACTCCCGATGCCACCACTCCCACCACTCCTATCCTGTCCCATTGCTACTGTCGCCAACACTGTCACCACTCTCACCATTTCAACATCCCCACCCAAGCGCAAGCGAGGCCGACCTCCCAAGAATCCACCATCGCCGCGGCCCAGCCAGCTCCCTGTCTTGGACCGTGACCCGTCTTCTGCCCTTGAGAGCTGTGGATTGGGGCGGCGGCAACCCCAGGGCCAGGGGGAGAGTGAGGGCAGTTCTTCTGATGAGGATGGAAGCCGCCGCCTCACCCGCCTGGCCCGCTTGCGCCTTGAAGCAGAGGGGATGCGGGGACGAAAAAGTGAAGGGTCCATGGTGGTGGCTGTAATTCAGGATGACCTGGATCTAGCAGATGGTGGACCAGGCGGGTTAGAATTGACACCTCCCATAGTCTCAGCTCCAAAACTGCGCTCCACCCGGCTACGTCCAGGTTCTCTAGTTCCCCCACTAGAGACTGAGAAGGTGCCTCGCAAACGGGCCGGTGTCCCAGTTGGCAGAGGTCCTGGGCAGGCAAAGCGGAGCTGCCTGCAGTCCCCAAGTCCCGTGGGGCCTGAGGGTTCAGTAGAAGAGTCTGAGGCTGAAGCCTCAGGTGAAGAAGAGGAAGGGGATGGGACCCCACGCCGCAGGTCTGGCTCCCACCGCCTTGGTGGGACAACCAACCAAGGGGACCAGCGCATCCTGCGCAGCAGTGCCCCGCCCCACCCAGCTGGCCCCACTGTCAGTCACAGAGGCCGAAAGGCCAAGACGTGAGTGGGCTGCCCCTCCACCTAGGCTTTCCACCATGGCCCCTCTCCCTCCACAACCAGGCCTGACTCTGTTAACCACTACTTGAAGTCTTGAGGGGGAAAGCCTCCAGGGAGACACAGGGGCCTTCTCCCTTCTTTCCACCAAAGTAGGGGGTAGGAAACTGGTTGTCATGGAAATGGGGCGCGTCACATATTCCCTTCCCTTCCACCCCACATGGCTGGGCAGTGTTAAGGGTGGCAAGATAGTCTCTGTCCCCACCCCCTTGTACTTGATTCCCCAGCAGTCTTTCACAGCTCTCCACCCTTAAGGAAAGGGGGAGGGACTTCTCTACAATAAGGTTTTTTTTCTTTCTTTTTTTTTTTTTTTTTTAAAGAAGAAAAAATAATAAACTTAGTTTCTGTATGAGCATCCGCGTAAGGAGGCTTCTGATTTTCTGGTCTGGTGGAGGGTTGGGTGGGAACTTGGGCATCTTTTTTATTTCCCTTCCTCCTGCCAAGATCCTAGTACCTCATCTCTAACCCAGAATTACATATCTTGGTGGTAGAAATGTCCACCCAAGAAGAGGGAAGATTTGGCGAATCTGATCTGGTAGGGCACCTTTCTCTAAAGTTTTAGTTTTCAGTCACTCAGACGCTCACTTTTCCTCCTCCCGTCTGTTCTCTCAGTTCCTGACTTTCCCTCGAGCCCTCTGATGCCTTAGCCTTTTTCCTGCTTTTATCTTCCTTGCTCAGGTGCTTTCCCAGAAGGCAGGCATCACTCCCTTGGGTTGCTCCCGTCATTTTTCCTCCCTTGCTTTCCTCCATCTAGCCAAACTGGTTTGAGTCAGCTACACCCCCATATGAGCTCCTGGGGCTCTTCAGGTGGTGACTGGCCACCCAACCCCACCCCTGGGCTTGGCTTGAAGCCCTGAGTCAGCTCCATCTCTACCCAAGCCAAATCAAACCTGAGGCAGAAGCCGAAACTCTCAGTACCTCAAGGCCTATAGCCAGGTAAGAGCCCCTGTTCATTTTACATTTTCTCTGATCTCAACTCCCTGGCCCCTCTCCTTGTGTTCTCCCCTCATGTCTGTATCTGTTTATTCCATCTGAGTTCTTTTCTCAAACCCACTTCTGCAGCTTCGTGGCACATATTCTTTGCTTTCTGCTTATCTTGACTCTTTTCACCCTTTTTATCCTGGGTTGTGTTCAGAGAACTGCAAATGGTTTCATTTTATCTAGGATATAGGGGAATGGTTGGAGATGGTGGTTTGGTATCAAAGCTCAGAGGACCTGAGAAATAGGGAGATGAAAAATGATTAAGTAGGGCATCATTATGCAGGTTTCTGTGTGGGTTATGAGGTCATTCAAACTCAGTGTTAATCTGATTGTGTTGTGTGGCCTGAGTTGAAATGGAGAGGAGATGGCAGGGAGTCAGCATAGCAAAGGAGGCCCTACTGGGGGATTTAAGGTCTTTCCTGGTTTTCCGTTTCCTCAACTATAAAGAGCTTAGATGGGTACTTTTTCCCTCCTTGCTTCCATCTCCAGAATTATTATCACATGAAATGGCAGTTTTGCTTGAAATAGGGAACGGCCTAGCATGTCAGTCTCTGAGGAACTTCAGGGAATTGTAGTGCCCTTTGAAATACAGTTTAAAAATCAGACTTTGATAGTCTCTAATTCCTAGCAGCTGTTGAGATTCTATTTCCTGCTTCTCGATGTGCACCTGTCATTCTGCTTCTCCCCACTTGTCAAAACAGTAATACAGATAATGCTATGTTCACACTAGCATGTCTTTAAAGACTTGAAATCTTAGGCTGAGAAAGGATTCCAGCCACACATTTCCTCTCTTGGTCTATGAGTCATTAGAGGAATTCCCTAGTAAGGCGGCATTCTTGAAGAGTTGGGTTAGGCCACAAGGACATGATTAGAGAGGGGTGGAGTTTGAGAAAGCCAGGCCAAGGGCTCAGTTTTGGGGCTTAAAAGTACCTCGACTGTATCGCCCACAGGTGATGGAGGACGAGGAGAATGCAGTGGAGATCTTGGTGAGCAACATGGAAGCTGCTCATTCTCCATCCCCCATTCGCTGCTGCTGGCTCCGCCTCCGCTACTTGGCAGCTACTAGCATTATCTGTGGCTGCTCTTGCCTGGGAGTCATGGCCCTTGTGTTTGCCATCAAGGTGAGGAATGCAGTTCCTATGGGAGCAGGAGGGTGGGTGTAGTAAGGCAGTGGCTTCATATCTGATCTGTCTACATTGATCAAACGGTTACTAAGTAAGTGCCTGTCAGAGCTTGGTATTGGACCTTGTGCCAGAAGTAAGAAGAAGACATGGTTCCTGCCATCAAAGGTCCCACAGTCTAATGAAAGAGATGGCTGTGAAAACGGATAATTATTAATGGGATGTAGCTCGTCAGTACTGTCGTAGAGGAAGCACAAAGTGTTTTGGGAGCTGGGGGAGGATACATAGGGTGGGGCAAACGTAGGTTGACAGTTGTAAGGACCTAAAACAGTTTATTCTTGTATTATTCATTGTATTATTTTCCATACAAACAACTGTAAACCTACTTTTGCTCCACCCTTTATGTGTGTAATTAGAGTAGAGTAGGTGGCAGGAAAATAACCTTCAAGGATGAGTGAATTAGGGTGAAAGGCATTCCAGGTAAAGGAAGCAGTGTGTACGAAGGCCTGGACTATTAGTTCAGCCTAAATGAACCAGTAAGAAATAGTGAGAGATGAAGCCAGAGGGCCCAGATTCCCAAGGGCCTCCAGTGTTATGCTTAGGAGTTTTGACTTTATCTTAAAAGTACTGGGGAACCATTCAAAGGTGTTTGCAGAGGAGGGTGACATGGTCAGATTTGTGTTTCAGTAAGATTCACTCTCAAGTCCTACATGGAGAATGAATTAGAAAACTGGAGGCAGCTGAGCAGTATGAGAGCAGTCTGCAGGAGCCAGGAGAAGCTATGAGGGTTTTGAGAGGGTTCCACCATTTCAAAATATCTGTCACACAGGCTAACTTAAACACCAGTCTTGAATTTTCTCCACCCTAGTTGTATTTTAACCATCAGAAACTGTACTCCTGTCATAAAAAATTCTGGGTTTTATTAAGGTACAATCATAAAAAGATCCTTAAAAGATGAGGCCCATTGACTAATGAGAATGGGGTGTTATATGACTGGACATGAATGAAAAATACAAAAATACTCCAAGATAGCTCACTTTCTTTTTTTCTTTTTTTTAAGTATTTGTGTGTTTTTTAAATTTTTATTGATTTCAGAGAGGAAGGAAGATGGAAAGATAGAAACATCAGTGATGAGAGAGAATCATCAATTGGTTGCCTCCTGCACACTCCCCACTGAGGATCGAGCCCGCAACCCAGGCATGTGCCCTTGACTGGAATCGAACTGAGGACCCTTCAGTGCGCAGGCTGACACTCTATCCACTGAGCCAAACCAGTTAGGGCTAGCTCACTATTTTCTTGCCAAGAATTCCAAATTTGGAATGAATCTGGGATAAGTAAAAAAGGATAGGGGAAAAAAGGATTGAAAAGTATTTTACCATATATGATCTTGTGCGTTAACAATGGCCACTCTGAAAAGGAGGCAGAGCAGAATGGATAACTTATTTTGCAGATGAGGCATGAGAAATAGAAACTAGAAAGGAAGGTAGAGGATTTGGATGTGAGGTTTTGAGCCATGACAGGGATGGAGGATTGTAATGGGTCAATGGGCACTTTGGGACAGAAGCAGGGGGAGAACCTAACCAAAAACCTGCCCCCACAGGCAGAAGAGCGGCATAAGGCAGGCCACTCCGAGGAAGCAGTGCACTGGGGGGCCCGGGCCCGGAGGTTCATCCTGGCCAGCTTTGCTATCTGGCTTGCTGTCCTCGTTCTGGGCCCCCTGCTTCTGTGGCTGCTCTCTTACATCATCGCCCAAGCTGAGTGAGTGAGGGTGGCCTCTTCTGAGAGTCAGCCGGAACCTCCTGGATCCTGCAAGGCGGCATTACTAGGGTCCAGTGCCAGCAGTGGTCCTCCCTGGCTGGAGGATGGTGCCTCTCTCAAAGGGCTTTGGAAAAGCTCTTCTAGCCCTTTATAAAAGGAAACGGCAACTGAGACTGATGAGGGGAGGTCAGCCTGCTCTGTTCTTTCAGTGTTCATCATTCCCTGCCCCCCCCCACCCTCCCCAGCCTACCCCATTCTAGGGGCCTCTACCCAGAGGTGGGGTTGAAGACCAGGCCTGATTTTATTAGAATTTGTTTTATAATAAAAGCCTTTTTTAGTGGTGAAATGCTGTTCCTGTCTACTTGTTCTTCCTCTGCTTTCCCAGACCTTGGTAAGAGCCAGAGAGGGCATCTGACTGAGGCAGAAGTTTGCGTCTCCCTGTGCCTAGTTGCTCCATGAGAGTGAAGGGTTTCTTTTTCTTTTTCTGGAAGCTCTTGGAAAGACCCCAGCTTCTTCCTTATACCTGAAGAGAGGCCCAGAGGCCAGAGAGCAAGAGTAGCAGCATCAGCTACTATTCATTGAATGTTTGATATGTTCCAAGCTGTGTTCTGGACACTTTATATTTCTTAACTTCTTCAGTTCTCATAATCACTCAATACCTAGTACCATTGTTCTCACTTTATAGTTGAGGAAACAGGCACAGATTATAATGGCATACAGCTAGTAAATGGCAGAGCTGGGACTGAACTCAGACATTTTGGTTACAGATTTGAGAGAGGAGTGAAAGGATTGAATACAGCAGCCATCCCTTACATAGAGAGATTTCTATGACTATATTGAATTTGCATAGCCTTTATCTTGGGCTTATTGATACTTATTTTGTATTTTTATTGATTTCAGAGAAGAAGGGAGAGGGAGAGAGAAACATCAATAATGAGAGAGAATCATTGATTTGCTGCCTCCTGCACACCCCCTACTGGGGATCAAGCCCACAACCTGGGCATGTGCCCTTGACTGGAATTGAACCCGGGACCTTTCAGTCCAGAGGCCGACGCTCTATCCACTGAGCCAAACCGGCTAAGGCTCAGGCTGACACTTATCCACTGAGCCAAACTGGCTAGGGCTGATAACATTTTAAACATTTTTAATATGAGATATATCACACATACAGGAAAATATCCAAAACAAACATAAAGCTTAATAAGTTAACAAAGCAAACATCTGAAAAACTACCACTCAGTCAAGAAATGAACATTGCCAACACTTCAGAGCCTGCTTTACATCCCTTATAATCACTCCTGCTTCCTTTCTTCCCACAGGTAACTATCATTCTGACTTCAAACAATGTAGTTTTCGTTTTGCCTGCATTTGAACATTATATAAATGGATTCATGTGTATTTTTTATCCTCACCCAAGAATATGTTTATTGATTTTAGGGAGAGAGAGAGAGAGAGAGAGAGAGAGAGAGAGAGAGAGAGAGAGAGAGAAAGAGAGAGAGAGACAGAGAGACAGAGACATCAGTGAGAAACATTGACAGTTGTCTCCCGCACGTGCCCCAAACAGATCATACCTGCAACCTAGGTGTGTGCCCTAGCTGGGATCAAACCTGTGACCTTTCGTTGCACAAGACGATACTCCAACCAAAGGAGCCACCTGGCCAGGGCTCATGGATTCTTTTTATGCCTGGCTTCTTGTTGTTTATGAGATTTATCGATCTTTGGTATAGCTATAGTTTTCATTACTGTATAGTATTCCATTGCATGAATATATTACATTTTATATTGGTAGATTTTGGGGATGTTTTCAGTTTTGGGATATTACGAATCATTCTGCTGTGGATATTTTTTATTTTATTTTTTATTGATTTCCGAGAGGAAGGGAAAGTGGGGGAGAGAGAGAAATATCAGTGATGAGAAAGAATCATTGATTGACTGCCTCCTGCACACCCCACACTGGGGATCAAACCTGCAACCCAGGCATATGAACTTGATGGGAATTGAACCTGGGACCCTTCAGTCTACAGGCCAACGCTCTAGCCAAACCAGCTAGGACTGCTGTGGATATTCTTGTACATGTCTCTTGGAGTACATATGTCTTGTGAGTGGAATTTTGGGGTTATTTTACCATAATTCAGAGACCAGCAGAGCACCTAAAAGAATTAGAGATTGGGGGGGGGGGGGTGTAAGAGATCAACCGAAGGACTTGTCTGCATGCATATTAGCATAACCAATGGACACAAGACACGGGGGGGGGGGGGGTAGGGAAGGTCAAGGGGTAAAAAAAAAGGAGACATGTAATACTCTTTGTAATACTTTAAGCTATAAAACAAAATTTTAAAAAATAGAGATAGTGCACACTGAAGAGAGAAGATTAAAGGGGAAGATGAGCCATATGATAGTTGTCCTCAGTGTTTCAAAGTGCTCCAGCATTGTTGGTCCCAGATTTTAGAATGACAACAATGGGTAGAAGCCATACTTAGGGCAGTGATTCTCAACCTTGTCTTCAACAATGGAACCATGTCGGGAGCCTTAAAAAGTACCTATGCCTGAGCTTTACCTTTAGAGATTCTAATTTAACCAGTGTGAGGTGCTGCATAGTCTTCCGGACAACACATTCTAGAGTAGCGGTTCTCAACCTGGGGGTCGAACGACCCTTTCACAGGGGTCGCCTAAGACCATCGGAAAACACATATATAATTATATATTGTTTTTGTGATTAATCACTATGCTTTAATTATGTTCCATTTGTAACAATGAAATTGGGGGTCACCACAACATGAGGAACTGTATTAAAGGGTCGCGGCATTAGGAAGGTTGAGAACTGTTCTAGAGAGATTTAAGAAACTTAAATTTGCTTAACTTTTTTAAGCTAATATTTAATGAGAAGCTTCAGTCTACTAGAAAAGAATATCTCATTCCCCCAAACTGATTAAACTGATTTTAACACTCTGTTTTGAAAAAGTTTCAGACCTACAGAATAAAATAATAGTACAATGAACTTGTACTTTTCAGCTAGGTTTATAAATTTTAATATTTCTCCACATTTACTGTATGTCTTTTACTATATGTACATATTGTTATTACTGAACCATTTGAAGTTAAGTCCAAGGCCCATTATTCCTAAATACTTCATGATCTATCTCCTAAAAACAAGGATATTTTCTCAGATAACTAGGGAACAGTTATGTAATCCACAGAAGGCAACATCAATACAATATTATCTTCTAATATATAGTACATATTCAAATTTTCCAGTTGTCCCAATAACCTTTATAACCATTTCTTTTCTGCTTTAAGCTCCAGGGTGGGAACACAGTCATTGCATTCAATTGTATCTCTTTCTTTTAAAAAATATATTTTTATTGATTTCAGAGAGGCAGGGAGAGGGAGAGAGTGATAGAAACATCAATGATGAGAATCATTGATTGGCTGCCTCATGCACACCCCCTACTGGGGATTGCCCCTACAATCCAGACACGTGCCTTTGAGTGCCCTAGACCAGAACTGAACCAGAGACCCTTCAGTCCGCAGACCAATGCTCGATCCACTGAGCCAAACTGGCTAGGGCAATTGTATCTCTTTAGCCTCTTTCAATTTTTAGTAGGTCCTCATCTTTTTTTTTTTTTTTTTGGTTAAACCTTACCCAAGGATATTTTTCCATTGCTTTTTAGAGACTGGAAGGGAGAGGGAGAGACAGAGAAACATCAGTGTGAGAGAGAGACATCAATTGGTTGCCTCCCACACAACCCCTGACCAGGGATCGACCCTGCAACCAAGGTACATGCCTTTGACTGGAACCCGGGACCCTTCAGTCCACTGAGCCAAACTGGCTAGGGCTCATACTCTTTTTTTTTTTTTTTTTTTATCTTCCATGACATTTTTTAGGGCAAGCCAGTTTTTAGAATTTCTCAATTTAGGTTCTTATGATTGGATTCAGGTTAGAAATACTACATAATGTCAGTGTGTCTTCAGTACATCACATCAAGAGGCATATGATGTCAATTTACACTCTTATTGGTGGTAGTAATATTGACAACTTGGTCAAGGTAGTGTCTGTCAGACTTCTGAAAGGTAAAGCTAACTTTTATCCTTTGTAATTAAAAACTAATCTGTGTAAGTATCCTGTTCCCCAGCAAATTTTCACCAATCATTTTAATGCCCAGTTTGCCCAACACAGTTATGAGGCTTACAGAAGGTTGCTGTTTTTAGTTTATCATTCTACACTTGTTAGTTGGCATTCTACTATGAAGACAGTCCTTTTCTCCATTATTTACAATTTTTTAGTGTCAGTATGGTCTCGGATTGTTCTTTAGTTCAATTTATTATATCCATTAACTGTCATTAACCTCCTTAAAATATTTTGTTGAGGTATAGTTTGTAAGTAATTTACTATAGTTTACATATAGTAAAGTGCACAGATCTTAAGTGTGCAGTGTGATGAATGTTTTTATATAAACACATCTGTGTAATCACCACCTAAATCGGGTGGGGAATGTCTGGCCTGCCAAAGTATTAGGAGTGAGTTAATTAAATGTTTGACCAAATATAGCAGGATAATTTTTAAGTTGATAATTTTGTATGGTCCCTGAATGAAGCTATAAATATCCAAATGGCCCTTGGTAGAAAAAAGGTCCCCCACCCCTGAATAGGTGACTAGACAATTTCTAGCACCTCAGAAACCTCCCTCATGGCCCTCTCAGTCTCATTATTTTTGTCCCTGATTTTGGCCAGTGGAAACCCCTTCAACCTGGTTCTTGTGTCCTTCTGATAAGTCCCCAACTTTTTTCACTTACTTTCTGGCACAAATTATTGTAGATTCATCTTACACTTTCTCTGCTCCAGCCTGGTAATTGGCCATTTCTTAAGTGAGCTTTGGTTCCTTTTACTGGGGACTGTTACTTTGAAATTAGACACTAGCTGTGCTCATTCTACTGGGATGTTACTGCATCTAGGTCCTTTCAGAGGTTTGTGCTCAAAATACCTAATTTTATCTATTTTAAAAAATCACACCTGACTTAAATCAATCATAAGGTTCTCTCCTTTCCCCATTCTATTTTTTTTCAACTTTTTTGTGTTGTTTTTTTTCTTTTGTTTTTTTCCCCATTCTATTTTTTAAAAAATAATTTTATTCAATTTTAGAGCAGAAGGGAGAGGGAGAGAGAAGCATCAATGGGAGGGGAAATATTGATCAGCTGCCTCCTGTATGCTCCCCCACCTGGGATGGAGCCTGAAACCTGAGCTGGTGTCCTGACCAGGAATGGGATCAGCAACCCCTCTGTGCATGGGACGATGCCACACTGACCCACACTGGTCAGGCTGTTGTTTCCCTATTCTAAATTCCATATTCCCACAGTAAGACCCTTGGCTACCTAATGTTTATTCACTGCTCAACTTTAGAATAATTATCCCATTGTAGTACTAAATAATAAGCCTACTAAGTAAAGTTAAAGATTTCCTCACAATTATTTTGTCTTTATTTTTATTTTGAGAGTACATTTATTAAAGCTGGGGACAGTGCACAAGGAAGGACTTAGGGTACAAGAAGCAGCAGGGGAGAGAGAGGCAGGGGCCGCTTTGGCTCTAGAAACGCCATGGGAAAGAAGTGAGCCAACATGGGGCTGCTACAATATATTTCTATTGATTTCAGAGAGAGAGGGAGATGGAAACATCAATGATGAGAGAGAATCATTGATTGGCTGCTTCTTGCACACCCCCTACTGGGGATCTAGCAGCAACCCAGGCATGTACCCCATGGGGAATCCAACCCTGACCTCCTGGCTCATACACCAGGCCTATTTTGTTTTTAGATTGATGGTATGGTCAAAGTACTCTGTTAAAAAGGTACTTGGACTCGTTACATGGTTGTGATCCCAAAGTGACATTTCTAAGATGGTTGTTAGCAGGTTATATGGGAATAGAACTTCCACAAGGGTAGGGACTGTTTCTTTTTTTTCATTGCTGTTAGCCTAGCGCTGTGATTTTCAACCGGTGGCCACAGGAATGTTTAAAACATGCAATACCTATTTAGTCAGGGGCACTGACCTCTTTTCCCAGACTGTCAAAATATGACAACAGCCAACACTACAATAGCCAGCTGGTATAAATCAAAAGTATACCTACTTTTTGGCCAGATCGGCAAAATTATAACCTATTTTTTTGGTGTGCCCCAGAATTTTAGTAGTTTGTGCCATAAGATGAAAAGGTTGAACAAATATTCATGGAATGAGTAAGTGAATGCCAGGGTTGAGGTATGCACAGAAGGCTTATGAAGCAAGTCGCTCCTGGCAGAATCTCATAACCTGGTAGCCTTAAAACAGAGTGTAGTACTCCCCAAGGCTTTGGGTTGGGGGGGGGGGGGGGTAGGCTGGGGAAACAGCACCCCCACCTGGTGAGCACTAGGGCTTTAGAAGTATTCAAGAGTCAGCAGTCACGGGACGCGGCAGCCTCTTCAGGCTGCACCAAGTGGCCAAGGTGGGCAGTTTTCGCAGCTGGAGTCCCCCTCAAAGCAGGGCTGCCAATACCCTGGTAGAGCCGAATCCCGACAAGGATGCTGGGAGGAGACTGCGAGGGCCGTGCCCGCGTCCGGGAACCCAGGCGCAGCGAGGCTGGCATCCCAGCAACCCAGGACTTCTGCTTCCCAGTAAGCCGAGCTTCCCGGTCGCTTCCAGGCCTCCAACCACCCGGTCAACAAGTCCCGCCCTCCGCCGTCTCGGCAGGCGCCGGGCGCCGATTGGCTCTATTTGAAGCCGGGCGTCGCAGCCTTAGGTAACCGAGCGCCAACGCTCTCCGGCCCCCGGCCTCTCGGCCTCCTATTAGACAGCGGGTTTCCAATCGGAAGGGCTTTTGAACCTCAGTCCTCGGCAGGCGCCGGCTATTGGCGGGCAGGGCGGGGGCGGGGCCGGAGGTCGTGGCCGCCACGCCCCGGGCCCGGAAGGGGACTAGAGGCAGACCCGGTGGCAGCGCGGCCTCGCTGGGTCCCCGGCTCCTCTCCTCGCCGCCGCGGGTGAGTCTGCGCGAGACCCCGCGCCCCTCTCCGCGCTCGCCCAAGTGCGCCTGCGCGGCAACAGCCGCCGGCCCGGGTCCCCTTCCCCGCGTTCTCCGAGCCTCCCCCTCCCCCGCCCCCCTCCCTGCCGGCCTTCCCGCCCCTTCGGCCCTTTCGCTGGGGCTCCCCAGCCCCGCTCCTTCCCCAACCCCGTCCCCACTCCCCAAGATCCTGGCGCCCCAGCCGCAGGGACTGTGCCTCCGCGCGCCGCGATGTGTGTCCTCTCAGAGCCTGTGGGCCTCCCTGCCCTCCGTTTCCTCCTCACAGGCCCCCACCTCCGTCAGAATGACGCTGGACGTGGGACCCGAGGATGAGCTGCCCGACTGGGCCGCGGCCAAGGAGTTTTACCAGAAGTACGACCCTAAGGACGTCATCGGCAGGTGAGGCCGCGGCGGGGGCGCGGAGTCCGGGGTGGGTCCTGGCGGGACGGTGCTGAACGGGGTAGGTCAGTGCTCCGCTTGGTGGCGAGACTCGTATTCTGGGCCAACCCCGTTGTCCACTAACTCACGGATGTGTTCAAACAGTTGAATTACCTGCTGGGTGCCAGGCACAAAGCTAAACAGAAGGGGAAGGAGAGGTGCGTGTGCCCCGGCGGTGCTCCCAGCGAAAGAGACACAGGCACATTCAGAAAGTGTCGGCTGTGAAGAGTGCTGGGGTCAGAGCCACAGCTCCCGGAGGTGGGATCGGGCCCGGAGGACGGTGCGAGCTCAGCGTGCGGAGACGAGAAGGCCGTGTACAGTGTGCTGGGTGCGCTGTGCGAGGCGCCGGGCATACCGGACCCACAGGTTTCTGTTCTGGAAACTATAGTTGTAGAGACAGACAGACAATAAACGCAAAAACAGGATGAAGATCAACGTGCTGTGGAGACGGTAGTGATGGCACGAGGGTCATTAGTGAGCTGAGACTTGAAGGATGGGAATGGACAGGGCTTGAGTCAGGTGAGCTACACCCCAGGAGAGGGAACAGTGAGTGCCAAGGCTCATGGTGGGAAAGGGCCTCCGCCAGCGAAAGATAGAAGAGCATAGCGGCTAGAAGTAAACAAAGTAGGAAATCAAATTGGAGAAGTAAGTGGAGGTTGGGTTATGTAAGGTCTGAGGCCATACATAAGGAATTTAAATTTTAGCCTTAGCCGGTTTGGCTCAGTGTATAGGGCGTCATCCTGCGGACTGAAGGGTCCCAGGTTTAATTCCCGGCCAGGGCACATGCCTGGGTTGTGGGCTCGATACCCAGTAGGGGGCGTGCAGGAGGCAGCCCATCAATGATTCTCTCTCATTGATGTTTCTAACTCTCTATCCTTCCCCCTTCCTCTCTGAAATCAATAAAAATATATTTGTAAAAAAAAGGAATTTAAATTTTAGTGAAACTGGTCATTTCAAACAAGGTAGTAACCTGAACTGATTTACATTTCTGTGATTTGGGAGCTAGGAACTTACCCTTTCTACACCTCAATTGTGTGTGTGTGTGTGTTTAATAGATTTTTCTTGATTTCAGAGAGGAAGGGAGAGGGAGAGAGAGATAAATATTAATGATGAGAGAGAATCATTGATGGGCTGTTTTCTGCACACCCAACAGGGGATTGAGCCCGCAACCCAGGCGTGTGCCCTAACCAGAAATTGAGCCATGATTTCCTGGTTCATAGGTCATCGCTCAACCACTGAGCTATGCCAGCCATGCCATCTCAGTTTCTTAATTGTAAATTGGGAATAAAAATAAATCCTACTTTGTAGGTTGCTGTGAGGATGAAAAGAGTTAATATGATACTTTTAGAATACTTTCAGGCCCTTGGTAAGTGCTCAATACAGGTGTGTTAATTACAGTTTTAAAAGATCATTCTGGCTCTTGTGTAGAGAGTGGAAGAGGAGGGGGGCAGGAATGGAAGCATAGAGACCAGTTATGAAGCTGTTGATTCATTTAGGCTAGTGATGGTGGTAGGTTAAGACTGGAGTGGGGGTGATAAAGATGAAAAGAAATGGATAGTTTTAGGTGATGACTTGATACAGTTTCCTAAAGGATTGGATATGACCATGAGGGATAAGTAGAAGAAGATAGAAGAATAACCTCTAAGGTTTGGATTTGAGCACTTAAGTACCATTTATTGAAACAGAGAAGACAGGAGGATCAGATTATCGGGACAGGTGAGCAAGTCAAGAATTCCATTTTTTTTGCCCTCGCTGGTTTGGCTCAGTGGATAGAGCATCAGTCTGTGGACTGAAGGGTTCCAGGTTTGATTTTGGTCAAGGGCACATGCCCAGGTTGCGGGCTCGATCTCCAGTAGGGGGTGTGCAGGAAGCAGCTGATCAATGATTCTCTCTTATCATTGATATTTCTATCTCTCCCTCTGCCTTCCTCTCTAAAATCAATAAAATATATATATATTTTTTTTTTAAAAAAAAAAGAATACCATTTTGGAAATGTTGACTTTGAGATACACATCTGGAGCTGTCAAGTGGGTCTTTGAGTCTGGAACTAAAGGGAGAGGGGCTGGGCTAAAGCTATAAATTTGGGAGGCGTCAGTGTATAGATAGTAGTTGGCGAGAGAATATAGACAGAGAAGTGAAAGTGGCGTGGGCTTAGGCTCTGGGATGTATTATGGGTTAGAGAAGGAGGAGCCAGCAAGGGAGACCAAGGAGATGTCATCTGTGAGCTACAAAGAACCACAGGAAGAATGTGCTTCTGCAGGCTTGGCATGGTCCGCTGTGAAGTGCTGCTGAGGCCCTGCTGGTGTGCTCAGTGGTTGAGGATTGACCTGTGAACCAGGAGGTCACGGTTTGATTCCCAGATTCCCAGTCAGGGCACATGCCTGGGTTGCGGGCTCGATCCCCAGTGGGGCATGTGCAGGAGGCAGCCGATCAATAATTCTCATCATTGATGTTTCTATGTCCCTCTCCCTCTCCCTTCCTTTCTGAAATCATATATATATATTTATATTTATTTTTTTAAGAAATCAGGAATTCTGGAGAGAAATAATGAAGGCTCAGGACAGTGTAGCAGGAATCATTTACACATAGTTGGTATTAAAGCTCCTGGGACTGGAGGGAGGTCACCAGGAGAGAGTATTGGGAAAGAAGAGAGAGAGCTGAGATCCAGGTCCTGAGTAGCGAGGTTTCAGGACCAGGTAAGGGGGGATTCACAGAGGCTAGGAAGAACCTCAGGGTAGAATGGTGATTCCACTGCCATGGGGCACAGAAAGGCCAGTTTTGGAAAAGGCAGATCAGAGGGTAGTGTCGTATTCATCTCCTTCCAAGGTTACTGTGGTAGCATGACCCCTTGTCTCCTTTATTTTCCCTGCACACTCTCACTAAATTTTCCCAGAGTATCAGTTTCTTCATGTATAAAGGCCTGAAGCTTTAAAATAGTTGTACTAGGCCTCAAACTCAGATGCATTTAGTGGTTGAGCACAAAATAAAACTGTGAAGTGGCTAACAGGAAGACAGTAGGAAGTGGTAAGCATTGTGGCAGCTGGAGGATTCTTGTCCCATCTAAGATGTATGGATTCAGATTTGGAAAGAATATTGGACTGATCAAAACGTAATTCATATATGGACTGTTTAGCCAGAGGGTTAATAGTTTGCATCCTTTGATCGAACCAGAGATATGGGTGACAGGCATTCCAAGCCAAGGGAGTTTTGTAAGGTCAAGGAGGCTGTGAGAGCACAGCAGGAGGTTATGTGAAGGGCAGCCAGGGAACCAGCCTGTGAAATGTGGTGTGATCCTGGAAAGATTTGCACCTTAGCCTGAAGTATTTGTAAGGTCAGAGTGAGTTGGTGACGGAACCCAAGCGAGGAAATCTGTCTAGGACTTTCTCTTTACAATGCCAAAAGGGCTTTCCTGTCTCGACCTCAGTCTGTCTTTCAGCATCCCTTCAAGATAGTTTTGGCTACATTTCAGAGCTGGAGAAGCGGAAACCCAGAGACCTTATGTTAGTGGGTTCCTTAGAGATTAATTAGTGGCAAATTTGGGGCCTAAACCGATATCTTTAATTCTCAACTTTGGTCTTCTAGTCAATTTCCCAATATTTATTTAGAACCTCCTGTACTTGAGCTAATGTAGGGGAACTGTGGGGTTTGGATGGGGTAATCAGGAAGTGTGAGTAAAATTTGGAGGGCATTTTAGGTAATTTCTTCTCACTTTCTCCTTGTGAGGTTTCAGGGCAAGGGGCAGGTTCTGGGGCTCAGTGTAGAAGGGACTTGTCTAGGTTCACCCATTGAGGGCATGGCAGAGGCTGGGTTAGAAACCAGGGCCCGGGCCTGCCTTCCCTGTTAGCTTTGTGTTTCACCTTCCTGGGCACCTGCGTTGCTTGCTGAGGCCACTGTGAATCTATTGTAGGCCAGGACGAGCTTCTTGGGAGGTTGCCTTGTCCAGATGGGTCTTCAGAATCTGGTGCAGTATATATATGAGGGTGCCGAGGCTCTACTCTGCTTGGAAATGAGAGAGTAGGAGGCGCTGACCCCTGTGTTGTCTGACTCTGGCAGAGGAGTGAGCTCTGTGGTCCGCCGTTGTGTTCATCGAGCTACTGGCCATGAGTTTGCGGTGAAAATCATGGAGGTGACGGCTGAGCGACTGAGTCCTGAGCAGTTGGAGGAGGTGCGAGAAGCCACGCGGCGAGAGACACACATCCTTCGCCAGGTCGCTGGCCACCCCCATATCAGTGAGGCTGCATCCCCTGTTCCTGTTAGATTACAGCCACATCCTGCTGGTCCTGCCCAGAGCCCATTCCCCCAACACTGCCTCCGCCCCTCTGCTCCCTTCCTCCTGGCTCTGTTCCACCTCAGAGTGTGGCCAGCCTTTGGGTCCCTACTGCCTCCTTTGATTCTCCTTCCCAGTAACAGCCCGCTGTTGGCCCGCTGTTGCCTCAGGGTGGAAAGCCCCTTTAATATGCATCCGCTCCTTTCCATCTCTGTCTCTCTGCCTTTCTGCCTCTTTCCCCAGTCACTCTCATCGATTCCTACGAGTCTTCTAGCTTCATGTTCCTGGTGTTTGACCTGTGAGTATCTCCCTGCCCCAATCTGGAAGCCTCCTCACCTCCATGCACAGCCCCAGACTCACAGCACAGTGGGCCGAAGACCACCCTGCTCACACCTTCCTCTGTTCCAGCCAGGGCCTGCCTGGCAGTCCATGGCTCTGGCCTCTTTCCTTGGTGCCCTGATTGAGGCACGTTCTTCAAAGAGTAATAGTGGCCCTAACTGGTTTGGCACAGTGGATAGAGCGTCAGTCTACGGACTCAAGGGTCCCAGGTTCGATTCTGGTCAAGAGCATTTAACTTGGTTGCGGGCACATCCCCAGTAGGGAGTGTGCAGGAGGCACCTGATCGATGTTTCTCTCTCATCGATGTTTCTAACTCTCTATCCCTCTCCCTTCCTCTCTGTAAAAAATTTTAAAAAAAGAAAAAAGAGTAATAGTGACCAAAGACAAAGGGTCTTTATGACCCAAATCCCCAACTCTCTTAATCCCCCATGGTTATAAGGTTAGCAGGGAAGAAAGGACTGATTTGAGAGTGTCTGTCTAGGAACTGACCACTTATAAAATAGATATTTGCTCACCAGTCTCACATTGTTTAACACCCTATGCTGGTGTCTATCTCTGCTCATCAATTCTTTTTCTGGTCAATGTAAATCTGAATGTCACATGCTATACCATATAATGCAAACCAGTTGCAAAGGTTCTTCAAAAGAGAATGGTTTGAATATTAAATATTTAAGAGAGGCCTTGAAAATATTTTCATACAGAAATGACCCTCTGCAAAAGTGTGAGGGGAGGTTGGAAGTGTCCATTTTATTTACCCATTATGCAACTTTGCCCAACAGTAATACTCCCAAAGCAATACCTGATGTGTTTTTTATATTTCAATGATTGACACAAAGTTACAATTATAACCTCACTCTTTAAAGAGAAGACAAAATAAGCAAAAATCAAAGCCCTATACAACTTTTTTTCTATTAATTGAAATTTTGGTCGGTGCTATAAATAGAGACACTTTAAAAGGCCTTTTTGAGTACCAGATAACAAGGACCACCTGAAAATTATTGGCACAAGAAGGCACTCATTCTTGCTGAAATAGCCCCCTCAGGCACAATGAAGATATTTGAATTGCCAACCCACTGGGCCAAACTGTCCCTGGCATTCCTCTCACTCTTGGAGTGCTCTGTCTTGAGACCCTTTAGTTTGTCTACAGAGGAATTTCTCTCTCTTTTTAAAAGAACATATATTAGAGGGAGAGGAAGGAAGAGGGAGAGAGAGATTGAAACATCGATGAGAAAGAAACATCAATCGGCTGCCTCTTGCACGCCCCCCAATGGGGATTGAGCCTGCAACCCAGGCATGTGTTCTTTCTGGGAATTGAACTGACAACCTCTTGGTGCATGGGTCAGCACTCAACCACTGAGCAACACCGGCCAGGCCAGAGAAATCTCTCTCCTGGCCTGTCGTATAGTATTTTCTCTGAGCACTGGCTTATTTTCTCAGCCCTCACTGTGAGGTGCACCTCCCTCCCTCCCACTCCTGTCTCCTAGGATGCGGAAGGGAGAGCTGTTTGACTATCTCACAGAGAAGGTGGCCCTCTCAGAAAAGGAGACCAGGTACTGGCTGAGCCTGCAGCCCCTGGGGTGAGCAGGGCGTGGGGTGGGGCAGGGAGAAGCAGAGGAGACTGCCCCTCCCCCAGGTCCATCATGAGGTCTCTGCTGGAAGCAGTGAACTTTCTCCATGCCAACAACATTGTGCACCGAGATCTGAAGCCTGAGAATATTCTCCTAGATGACAATATGCAGATCCGACTTTCCGATTTTGGATTCTCCTGCCACTTGGAACCTGGCGAGAAGCTTCGAGGTGAGGGGACCTGGTGCCCTAAGAGGCTTGAGAGGGAAGGAGACCCAGACCTGAGTGCTTGGCTGGATCTGAGAACTGAGTCCCAGCTACCAAACAAAGGGGAGTCAGTAAACACTTGCCAAGTACCCTCTGGGTGCAAAGCCTTGTTTGCAGCTCAGAATGGGTTTCCTGACTTGGGGAGGATGGAGACAGGAAGGTGAGCAGATAAGTGGCGCACAGCAGGGCTAGGGGCCATGAGGGGAAACCAGGAGAAAGGAGCGCCTGACTTAGCAGGAGGCACCTACAGAGCAGGGGCTCCGAGCTGGGCTTTGGGGGGCTGGGCCTGTCCCAGGAGGAAAAGGGAGAAGGGCGTAGCAGGACTCAGCTGCACACACGGGGCCTAACAGTGTACGTCTTAGGTGCTGTGAGGAACCTGGGACTCTGGGACTCAGGTTCACCCAGTGTTAATACATTTGTTGTGACAAAATAATTCTGATGCAAATGGAAAACTAAACAAAGTTCAACTGCAAGACTCCTCAGAGCTTTTTTTTTTTTTTTTTTTTAATATTTTTTTGGTTTCAGAGAGGAAGGGAGAGGAAGAGAGAGAGAGAAATATCAATGATGAGAGGGAATCATCGATTGGCTGCCTCTTGCATGTTGAACTGAGCCCGCAACCTAGGCATGTGCCCCTGACTGGAATCGAACCTGGGACCCTTCAGTCCGCAGGCCAACGCTCTATCCACTGAGCCAAAACCGGTCAGGACCTCAGAGCTTTTAATATGCTACTTTCTCGCCCTCAATGGGCTCTGCACTGAATTTATTAATAGCTAACATTTACTGAGTGCTTAGTGTGAGCGAGGCTCCATGCTGAGTCTTTACGTGGCTTATTTCTCTAGATCCTCTCAACTTTTTTATTATTAAAATTTTTTAATGTTGAAATTATTGCAGGTGTCCTCCTTTCCCCCCCTCAACATAGCATTTGTGTGTCCATTTTATAGATGTGTTGTGACTTGCCCAAGTTCCTGTGGCTGGGATTTGAACTTGGGCAGTCTGACTCTAACTCATGCTCTTAATCTGTGGACTTACATATCTTACAGATGTTGTGCTTTATTTTCCTTTGTGCTTCCGAATATACTTTTCCCCATTCTGGAATCACCTTCACCATTGCCCACTCCACCCTCTCTCTTAGCTTTGGTACCAGGTTTCACTTGAATGTTCTAAGTTAAATTCCTTTCTTTTTAAAAAAAATATTTTTTTATTGATTTCAGAAAGGAAGGCAGAGGGGGAGAGAGAGAGAGAAACATCAATGATAAGAGAGAATCACTGATCGGCTGCCTTCTGCATGCCCCACATTAGGGATCGAGCCTGTAGCCAGGGCATGTGCCCTGACCGGGAATCGAACCGTGACCTCATGGTTCACAGGCTGATGCTAACCAATGAACAATGCTGGCCGGGCTAGATCCCTTTCTTTTTGTTCTTTTTTTAAAAAATATATTTTTATTCATTTCAGAGGGGAAGGAAAGGGGGAGATAGAAACATCAATGATGACAGAGCATCATTGCTCTGCTGCCTCCTGCACACCTCTTACTGGGGATCAAGCCTGCAACCCAGGCACGTGCCCTTGACCAGAATCAAACCTGGTACCCTTTGGTCCAAAGGCTGACGCTCTATACACTGAGCCAAACCAGCTAGGGCCTTTCCTTTTTGTTCTTTACTCCCTTCATGGCACCCATCTTACTCTATTATTTCTCATTTGCTTTTTAGTGGACGTGAAGTTTGGTAAGAGCACATCTGATTTACCACTGTGTCCACTGTGGTGCTAGGTACATGGCAGGCAATAAATACTTAGCTTAGGAATGAGTTTCCTGAGAGTCATGTTCAGTTTAGGCCTATTAAGCTCTCCTGGAAGTGTGCCATGGAATACAGTTTGGAAATTTCTAGGATGTTAGAATCGGGGCCTGAAGTGGTAGAAAGTAAAAGTAAGGGTTTGGATCAAGTCATGGAGGGCTCTGTGCTATAATAGACTTGATCTTGAGGCCATATTGGGAGCCAGGGAAGAGTTTTAAATAAGGGACTTACCCAGTATGTACTTGAAGAAATCCCATACCCCCACTCCTTCCCCTTGGTTTGAGTGGTGGTTCCACCAACCAGAGTAGAGATTATAGGAAGAGATTTGCGCAGAAAGGAATGCAGAGAAGTTTTGTTTTTTGTGTATGTTATGAATGTAAAAATGTGGTAACACTTTGTGTGAGGAATGAGTAGGTTTGGCCAGAGGGTTGGAGGCAAGTGATAGTTGGATAGGACCTTGAAGTAAATCTAAAAATCATGTTTCTCTTCATTTCTCCAAGGCCACCAGGAGCCTTGGTGGGTATTTGAGTTGTTCACCAGGGTCAGGATCTAGTACTGAGACTCAGCAGAGTCTGGCAGGAGCAGAATGAGGAACACTTGTTGAGGCTCCAGTAGAGAGTTGGTGTTAAGGGCCACGAGGGGGCTGGTGGCATCCCATCAACCTCAGCCCTCTCTCCCCAGAGTTGTGTGGGACCCCAGGATATCTAGCACCTGAGATCCTTAAATGCTCCATGGATGAAACCCACCCGGGCTACGGCAAGGAGGTCGACCTGTGAGTTTCTGGTATCCCGTCCTCTTCCTGTGTACATTTGCCCAGCACCTACTCCTGCCTGACTTTGGTCTTCTTCCCAGCTGGGCCTGTGGGGTCATCTTGTTCACACTCCTGGCTGGCTCACCACCATTCTGGCACCGGCGTCAGATCCTGATGTTGCGCATGATCATGGAAGGCCAGTACCAGTTTAACTCGCCCGAGTGGGATGACCGTTCAAACACTGTCAAAGACCTGGTGAGCTGGGACCCTGAGGGTGCAAGCGGGAGGCCCAAGAGCTCTCTCTCATGCTGTGGAGTTCCCCTAGATTTCAAGGCTGCTGCAAGTGGATCCTGAAGAGCGTTTGACAGCTGAGCAAGCTCTACAGCACCCCTTCTTTGAGCGTTGTGAAGGCAGCCAACCCTGGAACCTCACCCCCCGACAGCGGTTCCGGGTAAGCCTAACCGAAAGCGGTTCCGGGTAAGCCTAACGGACAGCGGTTCCGGGTAAGCCTAAGAGTGTCAAGTCTTGGCCTGTTCTTCTGTCCCCTGTGGCAGTGCTACACTGGAGCTCACACTCCCCTCCTTCTTCCCAGGTGGCAGTGTGGACAGTGTTGGCTGCTGGACGAGTGGCCTTAAGCATCCACCATGCACGTCCGCTGACCAAGAGTGCACTGTTGAGGGACCCCTATGCATTGCGGCCAGTGCGGCGCCTCATTGACAGCTGTGCCTTCCGGCTCTATGGGCACTGGGTGAAGAAGGGCGAGCAGCAGAACCGTGCAGCCCTCTTCCAGCACCGGCCGCCTGGGCCTTTTCCCATCGTGGGCCCTGAAGAGGAGGGGGACTCAGCTGCTATCACCGAGGATGAGGCCATGCTGGTGCTGGGCTAGCAACTGAGCCCTGGGGAATGCCAGAAAGCAGGACTTTCCATGAGGAGGATTTTTATCATTCCAGCCCCTTTTGGCTCTGGCCGTAGGCCCCAGCCCCACTGCTTGGCTAGGCCACCACTCATCGTACTATCAGAAAGTCCAGTCTATCCCCACTGGCCAGGGCTTTCCGATCAGAGCTGAGGTAGAAGGGAGCCACTCAAGAGTGCCATGCCTGGCCTTGTCAGTGCTACCTGTGCTGTGTATGCAATAAAATCTACACACCAGGCAGCCAATGCCCCATGTCTGGTGTCTGGCTTTGGCAGGAAAGCCCAGAAGTTGCTCAGGATGGGGGTGGGGGCACGAATGGGGCCACTCTGGCCGAGGCCTTTATTGGGGAAAACACGGGGAGTCACTTGGTCTTATTCTTGTTTTTGCCCGGAGGTAGTTGGAAGGGCCGCTCTAGTGTGGTCAGCTTGCTGTTGAGCCTTTCCTCGCTGGCCTTGAGCCGCTCATCCACCAGCTGCTGCAGCAGCTCCAGCTCCTTGTTCAGCTGGGTCTTGATGAAGGCTCGGAGGAGGGAGACCTGGCCTGGGCGGCAGGGAAGGAGAGATGCTGCTTGGGGCTGAAGGGTTGCCCCTAGCTGGGCAAGCAATTTGCAAGGTGTCCCTGGGGACTACATGGGTGGAAATGTTGCTTCAATTCAGAAAATGTTAGCCAGCCCTTCTGTGAGAGAAGTGGGCAGAATGGTTACTTCCAGCCAGACTTTCTGGATTGCTACTTAATAGCTTTGTGAACTTAGGCAGGTGAGTTAACCTCTCTATGCCTTAGGTTTCCTCCTATGTAAAATGTGGATAGTGATAGCACCTAGCATCTAGGATTGAGGGAGAATTAAATGGGTTAATATACATAAAATGTTTAAAATAGGGCTTGCCTGGCCCTGGCCTGTTTGGCTCAGTGGATAGAGCATTGGCCTGTGGACCCAAGGGTCCCCAGTTCGATTCCAGACAAGGGCATGTAGCTCGGTTGTAGGCTTCTCCCTGGCCCGAGCCCTGGTCAGGGCGCATGCAGGAAGCAACCAGTTGATGTGTTTCTCTTACATTGATGTTTCTCTCTGTCTTTCCCTCTCTCTAAAAATCAATAGAAAAAGTGTCCTCGGGTGAGGATTTAAAAAACAATAATAAAAAATAAAATAAAATAGGGCTTGCCTGGCACATAGTGTTATCAGTTATGTGCTGGCTATTATTGTCACCCGTTTTTCTGGAGCTCCTAGCAGCTGTGCTTTTATCTGTCATCTTGGACTCCTGCATGCTGAATCATTTGGAGAAAGGACACCATGACTAAAAGTCGGAAGTCCCGATGTGGTCTAAACCCTTCTTTTCACATTTGCCCCAAATCATTGAGAACCCAAACTCCTCCAGGTCCTCACTTGGCTCTTGCTGTGGCTCAGCCACCGTTTCTGGTTCCTCCTCCTGTAGGGTGACTGCCTGGTCCTCCACCTCCTCACTACCTTCTTTCTCTGCAAGCCAGAAGCAGGAAGAACCTTTAGCTCCAGCCCCAGCCCCAGCCCCAGCCCTGGCATTCTCCCTTACCTCTCTCATCCTCTGAACAGAGCTTGGGTGGCTGCAGCCCTAAATAAGTCAAAGACAGATCTAGCCGCACCTGGGAAGACAAAGAGGGCAGCTGAGAGGACGGCATCTGCACTGAGGGAAGTGGGGAGCTGAGGGGTGGTCTCATAGCCCAGGGCCCAATACCTGGGGAGTAAAGACGTATTTGTAGAGCTTGAAGTGGCGAAAGTAGGTGTTGACCACATAATCAGCCAGGGCCAGCAGCTGTTCCTCCTTAAAAAGGTTGATACTGAAAGGGGGCCGCTGTGGGGGTGATTGGGAATTAGAGGACTGACCACCTCCTGAAGCTCTGGCCTTTTCTCCTAGTGCCCAGCAGTCCAGGAGCAGGGAGAGCCCACTTGGCCTTCAGAGGAAGATGAGGGTAATAAGGGTGAGAACAGGCGATTGGGCTAGACCTTGTCTGGGGAGGAGCGAAGATCCCATCAGGGGAACTGACCCTGACTCCATGGCAAAAAAGAACACTGGTGAAGTAGCGGTAACATTCCTCCACATTGCCCAAGGGGGTTGCTGGGAGGGAAAACAAGATATTCCAGTGAGTCACCTCTGTGATAATCATTCATTTTACTCTCTTGTTAAACATTTTGAAGAAAACCAGTTCTGGGAATAAAAGGGAGAAAGCAAGAACTATTTTACTGAGCACTGTGCATATATTTATATATATTTCATATACAGGGTGTCCCAAAAAATATATACACTGTATAATTATTAATTCTAATGTCTTTTTTCAGATTTAACCCATTGGAATTAATAATTATTCAATGTGTATACATTTTTTGTGGCTCCCCCCCCCCCCGCCCCCCCCAATATAGCAGAACAGTCAGTATTCATAGATAAGGAAATGAAGGATTTCATCGGTGAAATAACTGTGGTAACACTGCTAGTAATGACAACAGGTTCCAGGTGGTGATCTCCCTATTTCTGCTTCCCATGGTTACTTGTGCCATCCAGCATCCTCTTTCCTGGGCTCAAACGCTCAAACCTTCTGGTCACTGCCACCTCTTACCAACACAGGCCTTGTGAAGATCTTGGAGCAGGGCACAAGCCGTTGATGTCTGCTCCATCGAGAAGCCCTGCTGGCGGCAGAAGATGAGTGCATGGGAGAAGAGATCCAGGGTGATGGCATCCTGAAGGCTCTGCTCAGGCCATCCCAGCCCCAGCAGGTTGGCCAGCACCCTTGAGAGGGGGAAGGACGGAGTGAGAGACAATGGAAGCCTCCCTTCACTACCCCACACTACTGTACAGCAGGCTTTGGAGCCAGGCATTTCTCATGCCTTCCCAGTACACCCTCAGCCTTTCCCATGCTCCTTCCTTTCCCTGCTTCTCCGCCCCCCCTCCATACTCCCTCATCTCCTCAGTGTTGGCCGTCTTCTCCAGCCTGTGCATGGAATGGATGTCCAGGTACTTCCTGCCATAGGAAAAGAGGAGAAATGGTGTTGGTGGCCATTATACATTAGTCTCAAGGCAGGACTAGAGCACTAGACTGGGAACCAGGAAACCTGAGTTTGAAGTTCGGCCTTTCCACTAACTTGCTGGTGACCTTAGGCAAGCCACTTCTCTCTCTGGGAATCATGTTTTCCATCTGTAAATAACTGAGATGGTCTAAATGAACTTGTGTGTGTGTTAATCCTCAGGATATTTCTTACACTGATTTTTAGAATGGGAGAGGGAGGGGTAGGGGAAAAAGAGAAAGAAACATTGATATGAGAGACATCTGTCAATTGGTTGCCTCCCGCTTGTGCCCCGACTGGGCCAGGGATCGAACCTGCAACCCAGGTACATGCCCTTGACCAGGAATGGAACTTGAGGTTTTAGTGCATGCTGGTGCTCTAACCATTGAACCACTGGCCATGGCCTAAATGAATTCTTATGATTATTTTCATTATAAAGCCTGCGGTTAGGAAACGAGTTCTTGTTTCTGCTCTGTCACTCCCTTATTGTATGACTTTGGGCAAGTACCCCTGTGGGCCTCAGTGTCCCCATTTGCACAATGCTCCATGACAGCTATGACATTCTATTTACATCCTCAGTCTTTGGCTCCCTTCTTCCCACACTTGCTCTTTGGACTATGGAGGCAGGAGAGCCATTTTCTAGTCATCTTGGGTAATCGCATCTCTGGACCTCCGTCTCCTCATCTGTAAAATGGGGATGTCCTACCTTTTTTTTCTGCCCTGGCTGTTTGACAGGACTGTTGGAGAAGTACTAAGGGAATCGTGCAAGAGCGAAATGTAACTTTTCCCAAGGCTCTTTACACTCACCACATGCAGATCCGGGGCTGGGGCAGAGGAGGCTGCGGAGAGAAAGCATATTGGACCAAAGTCCTTGTCCCTGGTCCATGGCAAACCTCCAGCGGACCTGAGAACTCGTTAACTTGCTTTCTTGTCTTAAGGACTGTGAACGAACAACGCGGGCGGGCTGGGCTTCAGCAGGCCCTAAGGCCTACTAATGAGCATAATAACAATCGGGGTCACACATTCCCTCTTCACCAAGGCAGCCCAGGAGACACCTTAAAATTAGTAAACATATCACGGGTGGCGCCCTGTCGGGAGCCCTTTTATAACATTGCTGAGCGGATTACTCGTCCTTACCGGGAACAAGTTGGCTGCAGGATCTTCCTCTTCCACCGCGACCACGGTGCCGAACTCGGACCGCACACCTGTTCCCATATGCGAGGCTAGTTCATCCGCTGAGCTAAGGTCCCTCTTGATTTCCCGCCGCAGTTCGGAGGGTTGTTCAGGGTCCGACTGCATTCTCAGGCTCTGGAATTGGCTGGACTTCCGATGGGTCATGTCGCCGCTCCTCCGTGTCACGGTCACCGCAGGCTCTACCTGCCTCTGTTCTGGGACAACCGGTTCTCCTCAGGCACTTCCTGGATCTGACCCTCTATCCACGCTTCAGCCAATCTACGCAGCCGAGAGGTCCGCTGCAGCCAATCCGCGGGGGGCGTCTCCACCCGGACCGTTGCTAAGGCGGCGCGGGGAAAAGAGTAATGTACTCGCCAATTAGAAGAGAATGCGCGTGCGTAATAAATTGCAAAATGCCCCACGTTTCTCCAAAGTTGCTAATAAGAGGCAGGCGAGGTCGTTAGGCTGGGCGTGGGACGTGGTGTCAGTTACCATAGGAACCGCCTACTGGCCAATCACTGAGAGAGAGAGGAGAAGTTCGGGAAGAAACCCGAGAGGAGGGACAAAGCGCGACCAATAGAAACAGGAAATGCAGTTCCACCATATCCGGCATTGCCTCTGGCGCCTGCGCTCTGTGCTGGGGAGCCCGGGTGACGTCTGGTGAATCCAAGATGGCGGCGCTCGGCTGATCCTGCAGCAGGTGAGGGGCCCGGGGCGGTGGGGCCGGGATGCAGCAGGTATGTGCGGGGCTGGGTTGGGGCTGCGGAGCACCGGTCGCGTCCATATCTAGGCTCTCCGTCTTCTGCAGGTGACGGAGGTGCCGCCGCCTCCCGCCTGAAGTTCCTGGGGAGACCCTGCACCGCTCCTGCCGCCGCGGCCATGTCTGGGCCCGGCAACAAACGCGCCGCCGGCGACGGGGGCTCGGGGCCCCCAGAGAAGTTGAGCCGCGAGGAGAAGACCACGACCACGCTTATAGAACCCATTCGTCTGGGAGGCATCTCTTCTACGGTTCGTTCCCGCCCTCAACTCTGTTCTCCGCCCAAATCGCCCGGAGCCTTATTCCCAGTTCCCCAAATTTAGCAGGATCCACTTTACAGAACACTCTGTTGAGAGAAACCGAGAGCAAGACGTCTGCTCTCCCTTCCAGATAGGAAAACAGGCTGCTAGAAGGGCTCGGGGGAGACAGAAGCGGCCCCTCCTCCACCAAGGCGCCCTGCGGGTGTCCGCGCCCCTGTAAATCCTGTTAGTGTGGGGCTCCCCCTCCCACCCATTGCGTGCTGTCCTCTGTCTGACTCTCCGATTGATGTCTTGGGCCCCGCTTTCCTTGGCAGGAGGAGATGGACCTGAAGGTTTTGCAGTTCAAGAATAAGAAGCTAGCGGAGCGGCTGGAGCAGCGACAGGCTTGTGAGGATGAGCTCCGGGAGCGCATCGAGAAGCTGGAGAAGCGGCAGGCCACCGACGACGCCACGCTCCTCATCGTCAACCGCTACTGGGCCCAGGTGGATGCCCCTCTGCCCTCCAGACTGGCCTTGATCCAGCTGCCATTCTCAGACTCCTGCTGGAAGCAGTGTTACCAGGGAAGCACCTGAGGAATTCATAACATTTTTGGTGCTTTCTCCCTTCAGCTGGATGAAACTGTGGAGACCCTTCTTCGACACCATGAGAACCAGGGGGAGCTGTCTTCAGGGACAGAGGCGCCTGGAACCCAGGAGGGGCCGACCCGTGATGAGACCCCTCTCACAGAGCCAGGGACGTCAGAACTGAGGGGTAGGGCCAGAGCCGAGGACCTGGGAAAGGTCCTGGAGAGGAAGGGACTTTGGATATTAGGCTCCTGGAGCCCCTACCTCCCCTCCCACACGGGCACATAAAATTGATTTCATGTTTGGGCAGCTAGTACATTGGATCAAAATACAGGCTTTGGAATCTGAGCGACTTGGTTCATAGTGCATTTTGTGTTTTGAGACTCATTTAGTTAAAAGTGTTAATATTGAGTGTTGACTGTGTGTCTGGCACTGATCTAGACTTGCAGGAGGCATAGATAAGCAAAAAGAAATACTACCTCTGCCATCAGAGAGGAAGTGATTGTAAATCATAAGTTAAAAGTGTATGGGCCCCTGAACAGGAATTAGTGTGTGTGCACTTGTGCGTGGTTTATTTTATTTATTGATTTTAGGGAGAGAGAGAACATCATAGATTTGTTGTTCCACTTTTTTATGCATTTGTTGGTTGATTCTTGTATGTGCTCTGACCAGGGATCAAACCCACAACCTGATGCTCTAACCAACCCAGTGACCCAACCAGGGCCTGGTGTGGGTTCTAATTTAGTTTGAGAAGGCTTCCCTGCAGAAATAATTGGGAGCATTGTGGCCTTGGGGGAATTACCTCTTGAATCTCTGTTGTTTTGATTTCAAGATGGGGATAACAATGCACTATAGGTGTCGTTGTGTTGACTCAGTGAGCCGAAGAGTGTTGAATGGCTCAGTCTGGGACTTGGTTCAGAGTCGTAACTGCTATTATCCTCATTAGTGTCTCCATCTCTCCTAGAGACCCTGCCTGTGCAGCTGCGGCCCCCACTCAGTGAGCCGGCCTTGGCTTTTGTGGTGGCCCTGGGTGCCAGCAGTAATGAGGAGGTGGAGCTGCAGCTACAGGGCCAAATGGAGTTCTCCAAGGCGGCCGTGTCCCGTGTCGTGGAGGCCTCAGACCGCCTGCAGCGCCAGGTGGAGGAACTCTGCCAGCGAGTATACAGCGGAGGTTAGTGCTTTGTGCCCCCGCCCCAGAGATCTCCATACCAATTTGCATCTTTATTCTATCCCTTTCTCAATGCCTCTGGCCCAGAGGCAGCCAGAGAATTTCCCAAGGAATAAATCAGTCATGTTCTCGGGGAAGGGTTAGGTTGTAGATGGGGGCTCCAACTTTGATTTCTGGAGTTGAACTCTAAAGACGTCAAGAAGAGGAGCTGTGGATTCTAGTGGGGCCCACCCCTTTCGGCGGGATATCTTTTGGAGCACTTTGCACAAGACAGAGCAGCAAGTGCCCAGGCTTTGTAGGCAGACGGGCTTCCCCAAGCTTAGTTCTGTCACTCCAGCCTTGGCATTCTGGGCAGGTGGCTCTCCTCTCTGAGCTGGTTTCCTCCTTTGTGCGGTGGAGGTAAAGACTCCTAGCTTTGTCATGGTGGATCACACTGGGCACAGAGCAGACCCCAGAATGAGTTAGCACTTTTCCCCATTGCCCTGAACTGGACTCTGACCCGAGCCCTGACTTCCCAGGGGATAGTGAGCACCCTGGTGAGGCGGCTCGGGCACGCACCCGGGAGCTGGGCCGTGAGAACCGGCGACTTCAGGACTTGGCCACCCAGCTACAGGAGAAGCACCACCGTATCTCATTGGAGGTGGGCGTTGCATTTTTGGGGGTGGGATTAGACCCAGGGCAGGGTCTAGGTTAGGTGGACACCCAAGGATCTTAGGGAACCAAGTCTCCTCATTTAAGCATCTGCCCTCTTCGTTGTTCTCAGTACTCTGAGCTCCAGGATAAAGTGACTTCAGCAGAGACCAAAGTGCTAGAAATGGAGACGACAGTAGAGGACCTGCAGTGGGACATTGAGAAGCTGCGCAAGCGTGAGCAAAAGCTCAATAAGCACCTGGCGGAGGCCTTGGAGCAGGTGGGGCTAGGGTGCTGGGTCAGATGTAGGGGCTGGGTACCTAGGGTCCTAGGTTCTCTCCTCACACTCATCTGTCTGTCTGTCTTTCTCTCCTCTCCACAGCTCAACTCTGGCTACTATGTGTCTGGGAGTTCCTCAGGCTTCCAGGGGGGCCAGATCACACTCAGCATGCAGAAGGTGAGCAGGTATCACTCTTCCCAGTCCCTACCATAATCTTTTCCCTACCCTTGACATTCCCCACAGAGTTATGGTGTCTGAGGCCCTTCCCTGTCACTCATGCTGCTCTGTGTTGTACTCATGCACAGACATGTTCAGTAGGTAATTGCTAAACACTAAGTGCTAGGCACTGTGCTGGGAGCAAGCATATTGGAGAACAAAATAGACAAAAACCAAAGCTTTCATGGAGCTTAAGTTCTAGTCGGGAGAACTGACAAGAAGTAAGGAAAATAGTACATCAGGTGGTTATAAGCACCACAAGGAGAAAATGTAGACAGTAGATAAATGGAAGTGTTGGAATTCTTAGTTGGAATTCTAAGATTGGAATTCTTAGTTGTGTGGCTGAAGAAGAGCCTTGCTGAGACAGTGCATTTAATCACTGTCATTCCTTGTCCTACCTGTGCTCTCACCTCTTGGCCGTTGCACACTTTCTTGGTGCTGTGGGGGATCACCATGCCCTATTCCCGTTCCTTCAGCTTACTCTTCAGGGCTTCCAGGAGCCTTCTCTCACGCCTTGTCAGTTACAGGCCTTGGTTCCCAGCATTCACCATGCAGTATTGAGTTTACTTCCACTTGCCTGGGAGCTCTTAGGAAAGTGCTCAGGTCTGGCTTGTCCCAGGGGCTTCAGAGTACATCATTGCTACACATAGGAGAGCGTGAGTGGGGCTTATGTGAAGGAAGCATGCCTCCTGGCCTGGCCCGGACTGCCACGCCTTTCCCATCCCACAGTTTGAGATGCTGAATGCGGAGTTAGAGGAAAACCAGGAATTGGCCAATAACCGCATGACAGAGCTGGAGAAGCTACAGGCCGAACTTCAGGGGGCTGTGCGGACCAATGAGCGCCTCAAGGTGGGCATTTGGGGCCGGGAGGGCCTAAGACTGCAAGGTGGGGGCAGAATCCTTTCACTGATCACTTTTGGGCATCCCTACCTTTAGGTGGCCCTACGTAGTCTTCCTGAAGAGGTGGTGCGGGAGACGGGGGAATATCGAATGCTGCAGGCCCAGTTCTCACTGCTTTACAATGAGTCTCTGCAAGTGAAGACCCAGCTGGATGAGGCCAGGGGGCTGCTGCTGGCCACCAAGAACTCCCACCTGAGACACATTGAACACATGGAGGTATGGCCCTAGAACGGGTGGGGGCCGTGGGTAAGTGCCAGACCCTGAGGGTTAAGGCTTTCCTGGGTTAAGTCCCTGTATGCCTCCCAGGGGCCCCTTGGGAATAAATTCTTAAGCCACTGAGGCCTAAGGCCGGGGGCTCGCCAGGGAGCAGAGGGATTGTGTGGGTGCTTAATGCCTCAACCCGCAGAGCGATGAGTTGGGGC